GGACCGGGAGAGGAGCAGCCAGGACAGAATCAGCACCCCAACCGGGACTAGAACCCAGGATGCTGGCGCCGCAGGCAGAGAATTAGCCTATTGAGCCACAGCGCCAGTGAATAATCCCTTTTTAAATAACTTCTGAGCATGTATTTGTGACAGTTGATATTCTTTTTTTTTAAAGAATGACACCAATAAAAAGACAAATTGTATTAATGCCTGAGTAATAATTAACCTTGTGTTTTACACCAAATTCAAACTCTGATGATAATTTTTGCCTTTATTCTGAGAATTACTGCATGCTATATGTTAACAAAAATTTAATCGTTGTAAATTATTTATCTCAGCATTTTTCCCTTTAAACTTGATGTCACTCAAAAATTAACAACAGCAACAAAAAACCCTGTAAAACTCCAAATGGTAGGTAGTGAAGGCATTGTGAAAAGAAGTCATTCCATTTTCATATTTCCAGTTAAATTTGTATTGAAAAATCACTATTATAGTTTCTCAGTCTGAATCGCTTTTATTTTATAATAATTGTTGTATTTTGGTAGAAGCAGTATTGTAATTAGTGTTTTTATGTTTTATCATAATTATGCATTCCAACCTCTCCTTTATGTCTATCTTTGGCAGGTGTTCTGTTCCTTTTTCATTGTAAGCTATCTAACTTTTCATACAAATATATAAGCTTCGATTGGTTTATTGCCTAGAACCACATCTGTGTCACCTTCTGCCTGGGTGAAAGCATAAAATACTAGCCCTCTGGAAGGCTCACTTGCATTCTCGCTTCACGTTTTCCTCCCTCCTAGAAGAAACCACATTTTGGACTTACTTATTCTATGTACTTTTGAAATTTACACTTTGTCAGAATGATGTATGTTGTTTCTGTGTAGCTGGACTCTTGATTCTCTCACTGATGTGAGTTTCCCATCAAAACTTTGTCATTTACTGGCTGTGGTGTTGATGGAAATATGAGGTGCTTGCAGTTTGGAGGTATCTGAATAATGATGTTATAAAGATTCCTGTACGGAAATTATTTGGTGGTCATTTGTGTGCCCTTCCATTGAATACCTAGGATTGAAAGTTATGGGTCATACTTTTCAAACTTTAGGAGACAGAGCTAAACAATTTTCCACAGTGCTTATGCCAGTATATACTTTACTAGCAGTAAATGGGAATTCACCTTGTTCCACCTTCTTCCAAACACTTAGTTGTCAGTAGTTTTAATTTTGGATATTCTGGTTAGGATGCAGGTACTTCAAAAAGTTTGTGGAAAATGCATTTAAAAGATTTTTAAAATTTGAAATGCATGCATCGGTTTGTTTATAATATGCACATTTTCCGTGAACTTTTTGGAAGAACCTTTATATCACTCTTTACTAATGATACTTGAGCCTCATTTAGTAAGATTATAGAGCATTGGGCTATCCCTGCTGATGCATCTGGGAAGCAGGGAACCAGTGGAAGATGGCCCAAGTACTTGGGACCCTGCACCCATGTGGGAGGCCCAGAAGAAGCTTCTGGCTTCTAACTGGCACAGCTGTGACCGTCGCGGCCATTTGGGGAGATAGAAGATTTCTATCTGTCTCTCCCTCCCTGCCTCCCTCTCTCATTCTGCCTTCAAATAAATAAATAAATCTTTTTTAAAATAAGTTATCATTGTTCAGATTGATCTCTTACAATTTTGGTGTGCTTGTTCTATTTACTTAGAGATGTTTATGAAAATCACATATTATGATTGTAAATTTATCTTTCAGTTGTCAGTTCTTGCTTGATATACTTGTATTTTGAGTTATTAAGTACATTCGAATTTAGAATTACATTTTTTCTAATGATTAACCTTGTTTCCATTATTCTGTGTCACTGTTTTATTTATTTATTTTTTAAAAGAAAGAGACAGGGACCAACTGATCATCTCTCATCTGCTAGTACATTTCCCAAATGCCTATAACAGCTGGGACTGGGCCAGGCTGCAGCAAGAAGCCAGACACTCAATCTCAGTCTCCCATGTGGGTGGCAGGGACTCAAGCCATTGCCTGCTGCCTTGAAGGGTATTGTTAGCCCGAAGCTGGAATGTGGAGGAGAACCAGGACTCAAAACCTAGGCACATACATCCTAAGCGGCTATTTAACCACTGTGCCCTAATGCCTGCCCCTCACTCTTTTTAACACGCTTTGGCTTTAAAGTCTGCTTTGTGATACTAATATAAACTTACAAGCTTTGTTTTGGCTAACGTTTGTATGTTGTACTTGTGTATTTTTTCCATCTTTACTTTTAGTTTTGCCATTTCTTAGCCTTAAGATTAGCCCAGTATTGTAGTCAAGGTTGTTTGTTGTTGTAGTTTGTATTTGTTCAAATTCTTGTCTTTGAAGTGTTTGGCCAGCTTGTATTAAATACATGTACTGATAGAATTGGGATTGAGTCTCTCATCTTGCTATTGCTTCCATTTTTTATGCTTGTTTATATAATTTTATATATAGATACATATAAACATAAATTTTAATATATATTTTAATAAACATAAATCAATTTTATATAGATATATAAACATATATTTATATATGGTTCATTTTATTTATTTGAAATTCAGAGTTATAGAGAGAAAGATGTCTTCCACCCATTGGCTCACTCCCCAGATAGCCACAATGGCTGGGGGCTGAGCCTGGGCCAGGCCGATACCAGCAACTAAGAGCTTCTTTTGGGTCTCCCATGTGAGAGGAGGGCCATCTTCTACTTTCCCAGGCCATAGAAGAGAGCTGGATTGGAAGTAGAGCAGCAGGATTTTGAACCAGCACCCATATGGGATGCCAGCACTGCAGGTGGAGGCTTTACCCACTACGCCACAGTGCTGGCCCCACCATGATAGCTTTTAGACTTAGTATATGTACATTTATATTTGTTTATATATTTATCATTTCATCATACATATCTATATTATTCTTTCTAGGGGATGCTTAGTTACATTTCCTTTTGTGTGAGTATGCTTGTGCTAAATTATTTCAGTTTTTTGTTTGGGTTTTTAATTCACCTGCCATTTGAAAGGGTGTTCTTATTAGATCGTTATTTTCCTTTAACCCTTTCCCGTCTCCCTGACTTCTGTTGCTTGTGTTGGGCAGTTGACTGTCAGTGAACTTGTTATTCCTTTGAACATAAATTGAGTCATTCCCTTCCCCATCAACTGCTTTGAATGCTTTCTCTTTTATTTTCAGAATTTTTGTATAATGGATTCATATAGTCTTACTAGTTTTTGTCTTGCCTGGGACTTTCACCACTTGTAAAATCTTTGTTTCAATGTCTTTCATTTGTTGCAAAACATTTTAAGTTACTCTTTTCAAATATTTCTTTTTAACATATTTCTTTTTCTTTTCTTTCTGATACTGTGCTTACATATGTTAGAACTTTTAACTATATCATATATATCAACTATATTCCTTCCATATTTTCTATTATTTTATAGGTTCCATCTGTGTATTTTCTTCTTACCTGTGTTTTGATTCATAGATTCTTTATTTGGTCTGTGTCTAACATGTTGATAAAACTATTCATCTGAGTTTATTTCTCAGTTCTGAGATTTCACTTGACCTTTTTGATTTTCATTTCCTTGAAAAAACTTTTGACTTTTATCTCCTTGATCAATTTAGACAGTAATTTTAATACCTAGTTCTGAAACTTTCATTATCTAAATACTCTTAAGATCTGTTGTGTTGACTGTAGTTTCTGTTGATTTTAGGTATGATACTGTTTTGTATAACTTTTTATTAAATGGCAGATATATGAAAAAATTATAAAGATAATATGAAGGTGGGCATGATATTGTCTTATTCAGAAAAGATTTATTTTGACTTCAGCAAGATGACCAAAGGACTGGCAGTGTTTTTCATCCAGGCAGGAGCAATGAAGGTTGAAGCTGAATTTAGTCCTGGTAAGGCTGATCTACTTCTGATTCAGTTTTATTCAGTCTGAGTCATGTCGCATCAGTGGCTCCCAGCTCTAGTACTTGTCCTACTTGTCTCAAGAACTTGTCTGTCTCTTCTCATCTTCCCTTGCTACTCATCTACTTATTGAGAACTTGCAAACTCTTAGATGGTGTGCACCTCCTAAAAGAGCCACACAACTCTCTTGGTTTTCTTCTTGTGTGAGGTCACAGCCCTTAGGCTGTCATGTCTTGATTATTCTCAATACATCTCAGACAGATGGTTTTATTTCTGATATTTTTGTTTACATTTTCTTATTCTTATCAGAAGTCTTGATAATATTACTCAGTTGAGTTCATCATATAGAAAACAAGATACTGTGACTTTTTCCTGAGTTATAATTGTTAGGTGATCATTTAAAATTTTCTGTAGATTAAACATTTTTCACTTGTTCACACTTTTATGCACATTTTCTTTATAGGAAGGATTTGGACATCCATCATTAACAGAAACTTTTAAGGGATCTGGACAGAACCCCTAAGGTGGATGGATGGTCTAGTGTACTCTGTATGATTAAATTAACTTTAGGTAGAGTTTTCTAGCAAACAACATGTTTTTTTAAATTTAGTATTACTTTAGAGTATATATCTCTTAAAACAGGAAGGATATGATGTTTCATGTGTAAAATAACTGCACCTTATACAACATGTATGTTTTCCAGATTTGCTTAGGTTCTTTGACTCTGCTTGTCAGAAATTGCAGTGTCATTTGTTTATAAAATCTTTTCCTTATCATATATATAGTTAGCTAGAAAGACCAACTAAAAAAACTAACTTTGTTTAGGCAGATAATTTTTTTCCCTGATGGTATATTAGCTGATAATATTCATTCAGATATAAAAATATTTTTTTAATTCATCTTTGCAGAACTTTAGAAATGATAATCATTTACCACTTGTTTCTTTTCCTCTAAATTTTTTTCCTGTTTACTGGTCAAAACGTTTTTAAGTAAAGTTATCAGGGATTCCATGCACTTTCACGGTAGGGATAACATCAATCTAAAGACTCAATTCTTTTCTGTCTTCACTGCCTACAGACAGGGAACACAATCTCTTCAGCCTGGACCTGTGTAGAAGAATTTGGAGAAAATAAGCAGGTAAGAGAAAGCCTCTTGGGGATTTTAAGATATATGTAGTTTCAAAAAAACAAGTTATTCTTTTTCTGGCTATAGAAGAAATGCTTAAAATTACCTAGTGAAATTTTGCAAATTACTTGATTATAATTTTATTAATTATAGACTCAGCAAAATTTGAAAAAATGAAAGTTAAATTAGTTTCTGTATTTCAGGTCTTCTCAAAACTTTTAACATGCAAGTGTACCTTGGACCCTAAGATTGTAAATACTTTTATAAATTAGATACAGATGGAATGAGTGTGTGAATGTTCTTCCTCAAATTATTTTTAAGGTGTTGACTAAAATAATGGTTTCTAAAGTCTAACAATTTTGGGAAACACTTTTGACCATATACTTCTTTGGGAAAATGATAGTGCATATTAGCATACTAAATAATTGAAGAAGAAACAAACCTATCTTTCCTAAACTTTCCCCAAGATTGTTTAGGTAAGATATTAGTGATTTTAGGGATTCTTACCCTTAAATTTTATGGGATATTGTTTGGGAAACACTAAAATAACCCAAGAAACATTTGGGTTTAGTTTGTATATTCCTAATTTTATTGAGGTATGATTAAATATATTGCCATATATTTGAAGTATATACTTTGGATCATTTGATTTACAACTTTGAAATTACATCACAGTCACAAAAATGAACATTTCTGTCATTCCAAAAAATTGCCTCATGTCCCTTCCTAATCCGTTCTTCCTTCTAACCTCTTACCCAGGCATCCATTCTAGATTAGTTTGCAGCTTCTAGAATTTCACTCTTTAGTTTTTTAAGGTTTAAATTTTATTCTTTAATTTATAATATAATTTCTGGAAAATAAAGGTACAAAGTCTGATAGTGTGTATATGGTACTTTTATATTGTCAAAAGTGTCACATAAGAATTTGCAACTGAAATCTTAATATCAAAATTATTTAGAGAAAATACATTATAAATTGAAAAAATAAATTGAGTTTAAAATCAAAAGTGGGGCTGGTGCTGTGGTGCAGTAGGTTAATCCTTGGTCTGTGGTGCTGGTATCCCACGTGGGCACTATTTTCTAGTTCTAGTCCCTGCTGCTCCTCTTCCAATCCAGCTCTCTGCTATGGCCTCAGAAGGCAGTGGAAGATGGCCCAAGTGCTTGGGCCCCTGCACCTGCATGGTAGACCCAGAGGAAGCTCCTGGCTCCTGGCTTCAGATTGGCTTAGCACTGGCTGTTGCAGCCATTTAGGGAGTGAACCAGCAGATGAAAGACCTCTATATCCCTCTCTCCCTCTCACTGTCTGTGACTCTCTCAAATTAAAAAAAAAGCAAGATGCTTTTTTTCTTACTAAAACTTGAATCTCAAAAATTTAAGTACTCTAGTGAAAATTGGAAGAAGCCATAGGCTTTATAGTAACTTTCTTATTCAGCCATCCTCTACTAAAATTAACATATCCAAAGCCTCCTTGAAAATTGTCTAAAATAGGTATTGGCATTGTGTCACCACCTGTGACACCAGCATCCCCTCTAGGTGCCACTTGGTGTCCCAGCTCCTCCACTTCTGATACAGCTCCCTGGGAAAGCAGTGGAGGGTAGTTCAAATCCTTGGGTGCCTACACCCATGTGGGAGACCTGGGAGAAGCTCCTGGCTGCTAGCTTTGGTTTAGCCCAGGCCTGGCAGTTGCAGCCATTTGGGGAGTGAACCAGCAGATGGAAGATTTCTCTGTCTCTCCTGCCTTTCAAATAAATAAGTAAATAAATAGTCAAAAACAGATAGACGTAAGCTACGTTGTGGGCCTGCTCTTAGAGAAAACATTTTTTTTCCCTTGAAATTTCCTAGTATTCTTGCCTTTTGCTATCAGTAGCTTAATAGGAAAAATTAACTAGAAGGTAAAAATATCCCAAGCTTCCCCATTTTTTTCTTCAAAATTTGATTTTTATAGGGAAAGTAAGGTAAAAATTCAGTAAATTTCATATGTGTGTTCTAGGCAGAAGTATCACTTAATAAGTATCACTAATTAATGATTTTAAATATTTTATTGGTGCCAAGTTGCTTAATCACTAATGATTCTGAGAATATTTCCTCTGCTTTATAGTTAGCTTGATTTTCTCAACTAGGATGCAACAGAAAATAATAAATTGTAAATATTATTTATATTCAAATACATATTTTTAAATCTCTATTTTATGTTCTGCAGGTATACAGTACAGTTTAAAAAATCCCATTAAGAGTACAGTAGTTTTTTTGTAGATGAAATTCAGTGTTCTAGTGAAAATTTTAGTCAATTTTCAGTTTTAGTTTTTAATTTTTAGTCACTGAAACACTGAATTATTATTTCAATAGTGGTTATTGAATCTTAGAAACTAAAACAAATTGATGAGAGGAGGACATTTAAAATTGTTATGAATATTCTTCAGAAGTCTAAAGAAATGCTTAAAATATTTGTTAAAAGCCTTGGGAAGGGTATTTCATAGACTAAGAGCAGATGTTTCATCATCTTGGTGTGGTGGGAGTAATTAATCATATAGCTATCTTGAGAAAGTTAAACATAGAGTTATCCTATCACTTAGCAGTTCCATTTCTGTACAGTTCAAGAGGATTGAAAACATGTCTATACAGAGACTCGTACCATCATTGTTAGTGGCATCATTCATGATAGCCAAAAGAGGGAAACAACTCAGATATGGATCAGCTAGGGAACAGTTGAACAAAAATGGTATATCCATACAATGGAATATCATTCAGTCATAAAAAGCATCCAGTTCTGATACATATTACAACATGGTTGTACCTTGAAAACATATTAAGAAGCCAGTTCAGAAAGACCATGTAAATTATATACTTCCATATATATGAAAAGCCTATAAGCAAGTCTATGGAAACAGAAGATTAATGGTTGCTGGGGCTGGGGTAGGAGGGAATAAAAAATTACTGCTAATGGGAAAAGAGTTCCGGGTAATGATGCAAGTGTTCTGGAATTAATACGAGGTGGTTTGAGTTGTATAATTTTGTAACTTTAAATATAAAGGTATAACAGTAAAGGATGGTGAATATAGTAGCAGAACTTAAATAGCTAATAAGGAGAAATAAAGCTAATTATGAGATGGAAAATTAAAGAATAGATTTGTTAAGGTGATCAGTTTAAGTTCATAATTGATCACAATGATAGGATTAAGTGTCAAAGGGATTACATAAATAAGACCAGTGTCTGCAAATAATAATTGATAGAATGAAAAAGGAAAGAATGATCCTACATGGGAAGCAGGATACACAGCAGACTCATAGAATGGCAAATGCCCTAAACAGCACTCTGGCCTCAGAATCAGCCCTTAAGGCATTCAGATCTGGCTAAAAAGCCATGAGAGATTACTGACAACATAAATAAGAGTGTCAATTGTTAAATCAACAACAGGAGTCACTGTTCACTTACTCCCCATGTAGGAACTCTGTCCTTAATGTGTTGTACTATGTGAATTAATGGTATTACTAGTACTCAGACAATACTTTATACTTTGTGTGTGTCTGTGTGGGTGCAGTCTGTTGAAATCTTTACTTAGTATATACTAAGTTGATCTTCTGTATATAAAGATAATTGAAAATGAATCTTGATGAAGAACGGGATGGGAGAGGGAGTGGGAGATGGGATGGTTGCGGGTGGGAGGGATGTTATGGGGGGAAAAGCTGCTATAATTCAAGAGTTGTACTTTGGAAATTTATATTTATTAAATAAAAGTTGGAAAAAAAAAGAGTTGGCTAGAATTCATCCAAGCAGATACTTTGAGCTGACTCTTAAGTCTCTTTGCTTAAGGGTTTTCCCCATCTTTATTTATGTCTCACTTAAGACAGAATACAGCTAGATATAATTAGTGAGGTTTGGTTGAGATATGTAAGATAGAATTAGAAACAAAGTTAGAAAGAAATTAGGTATATCAGTGTATCTATTGTTTATATTTTCTCTAAGAAACTTACTGGTGGTATTCACTACCAGGTTGTGCGTTGGTCAGGGATAGGTAGTGGGCCACACCATAGTGGCTGTGTAACAGGACAAGTAGTTACCTCGACCATGTACTGCCAGCCTGTACACTTAACTGTGTGTGATGTGTTTCCAGTTATTACCCACTTATCTGCTCTTTCCAGATATTTTCCGAATCCACATGAGTCCTGGGTTCCTAGTTGGTCATTACTTCTTGGTTAGAATTGACACTTAGAATTAAGCCTATATGGCATTCTTTATGTAAATCAACTTTGTTCTATACAAATATTTATTATCATTTAGGATATAAATTTAAATTCCAGATAATTTGTTTAAAATGCTACCTATATTAGAACAGTTGTTCTCACGCTTTTTTACTTTTAATAAATGGCCTTTTCTTCAAATTTAGGAAGTACTGCATAAAAGTTTAGCATGTAAAACAGGGTGGGTGAGGAGCTACGTGGACTGAAATAGAGGTGCAGGGCTGGGTAGGTGCACACAAAGGCCAGGTAGCTGAAAGCGTCGCCATCTACTTCACTTCTGTCTGCCTGCCCATAACTGCTTGAGGTCCTTTTCTCAGCTATGTTTGAGAAGGAGACTGACAAAGTGAAAACACTGGGTCAAATGGAAATAATGCTTTTCTAGGAAACAGGAGGCCTACTTCTTAACTTACTCTTTCCTTGTTCAGCTGTGGGAGTTCAGATCAGTCTCTTAATCACTGAAATAGATCCTGGAATAGAGACTTCCAGAGTCTCAACTTCTGGTGTGTGATGTTTGAACTAGAGAATTTAATTATTCAGAAACTTCATTAGTGTCAACTATAAAAAGGCAAAGCCAATAAAAATGAACATGACACTTGAATACTTTACCAAAGATGTTCTAGTGGATGGTAAACACATTGTTGATCAAAACTGGAATCACACTGGGAATATCAAATGTTCGTGAGGATGTAGAACACTGTTGATCTCTTTTATTTTACTGGTGGGACTATAAAATGATCACAGTGGAGGAGGCTTAAGCAGTATCTATCTGCCCTACAACCCAGCAGTCCCATTCCCAAATCTTGACCTAAACTAAATCATACAATAGAATAATAATAAAAAGGAACAACTACTGAAACACAGAACATACCACATTTAGAAATTATATTGAGAAATCAGATAAAAATAACATAACACATAACTTAAAAATGCATTCTGTGAATGCCAAGAGGAGCAGAACTAACCTCTGGCAGTAGTAGATACTAGTTGCCTGCAAAAGAAAGGCTGACTGGGGAGGGCAGCAGAATCTTCTGGATTGGGGGATGTGTTTTACACTTTGTTCAGGTGCAGGTTACATGGATTTGTACAGTTATCAAAACTCGTTGATGAACACTATAGGAAATAATCATTTTTGGTAGGCAAATTATACTTCAGTTTTTAAACCATTAAGACAGCTGATTTAACACCTACTGTAAAACTTAAATTCTGAACCTGGCTCTGTGTCATTCCTTAAGAAGGGAACAGGGCAGTTCAGAATCAGTCCAAGGCATAAACCTCAGGAGTGAAGATTGGGAAGCAAAACCAGGGGTAGGCAAGTGAGTGCATGCTAGGAATTGTAACTTACTCATTAATTTATTATTTGCTAAAAATTAATGAAAATTTCTGTTTTTCATTTTCCATGATATATAAATTCTATGTTAGATCTAAGGAAAACATTCTGTTTTTAGGTTTAGCCGACTAGTTAAGTATTTGCAGTTTGTCTGTCTTAAGTTTGGTATTTTTGTGTTTCTAACCCCTTAAATGTTTTCTGAATGTAGATTGTCTTTGTGCTAAAATTTATTTTGAAATGGTTATGAAATTTTGTGAGCATCTAAATACAGCTTGTTTTTAATCTTGCAGTTTTAGGGGGAAATTCTTTTGTCTTGTCAATATACTACATGAACCAAGTCATCAGAGTCAGCTTTTAATTGTTATGAGTAATTTAGTCCCCTTAAAGATATAGGAAGACAATACTTCATTAGTGTATTTTTAATTTAAAAACTTAAAGGTTTATAACAGAGGCCTATGAGAAATGAAGGTTTACTAAATACTGTGCTAGTACTCAAATTGTTCAGCTCACTTTTTAAAATCTGCTGAAGACACTTCTTGTCTGTACATTTTCTGAACAAGCTGTATTACCTTATTACCTCTCAAATGGATATCAACTCAAAGCAAAAATAATTTCTCTTTTAAAACTGTATTTCTCTGCCTGCCAAAGTGTTCTGTTCTAAATCATCTTATCAATGATCACATTAAAATTCAAAGAGCATAGATTTACTGTAAGTACATGTGGCTAATATGGAATTGACTGTGTTTGCATAATACTCTTGAATAGGAAAGAACTTCCTTTAAAGTAGTTATTTGGGAATACAAAGAAACACTGATGCTTCAGTGTATTCTCAATACTGTACCCTTTAAGCAAAGTGCATCTTTTCAAAGAAGAAAAAAATATGTAATATTTGGAGGCATTCTACCTTGTATGTTAGAAAAGCAAATGATATCAAATATCAAAGTAAGTTCTCCAGTTCTAAAATACTGAAAATAACTTGAACTAGATACTTTAAAAATAAACTGCTTTATTGCTTTTATGGTATCATGGATAAAAATTTAAAAGGTGAATATTTTAATGAAGAGTTTTGCGATGCTAGAAATGAAACCTATATTTAACTGATTTTTATTTTTTTCATTTGTTTTTCTTAACTAGGTCCTTTCTGATGTTGCTTGAGCTTACTCTCCTGCAGTTGATCTCATTCCTGTTGGCTAAACATTAAGTCCCATGACAACATTAAGTTAGTGCTCTGTGTTTTAGGCCTCATTTATAGTACCAGGACAGTGTTACAGAAGAAGAAACGTTTCACCTGTACATTAGATGACCTAATTTCTTTTCTTCTATTCCCCAAAACACCATAACTTTTATAAATAATCATTTTATAGTCTTTGTTATACCCTGGGTTTATTCTACACTAAAGAACGTAGTTGAGTTTTTGGAAAGTACAGGATTTAAAGATTTGGTCTTTATACCAACTTATATAAAATTCTAATTAATGAAGCAGAAAATTATTATTGCATTAGATGAATGTTTATTGTGGAACAGTAATATTTGAGGTATAATTTTTTAAATAATTTGGTTTAATTTTTGGATATTTTTCTATACTGTAAGTTGATAATGGTTTCTTGAAGTTTATTTTATGGAGATGATTCATTTTACTGTTTTGTGGTACCAGTAGGAATCTAATGTTAAATTGATGTGTTGAGTTACAAATATATGTCTATGTTAGTATTTAAATAATGAAATATTAGGCAGTTAGTTTACCAAATGTTTTCTGCAGTAAAGGGATAAATGTTTTTTGCTGGTTTGATGCCTAACAGTTTCAAAACAAAAAAGAAGCAAACATGAATTCGCTGATTTTTATCATTCCTTCGTGGACTACCCCTTAGTGTCAGTACCAATTTTAAAATAAGCTTCTTTGAAGAGCAAGAGGAATCAGAGGTTCTCTTTTTCTGTGATCAAAATAATAATATCCCAGAATTCATTCTAGTAAGATCTCTGAAGCATTGCGTGAGTGAAGGAAACATGATACTGACCAAACTATCAGGATTTGCCTTGCAGTGAATGCTGAAATAGTCTTACCACCAGTATATATCAGTATTTTGAATGTTTGAACATTATGTTAAATGTGATTATAGTTTTAATGCTTTGTGTCTTTGAATTAAATTTGTGTCCATGAAGATGTGCACCATAATTGTTCATGTATTTATTTACAGACTACAATTTCCGTCGCAGCTCAGTAAATAGTCTTTCCCCTGTTAGTGCTACCCTCTCTTCTGGGACTCCCAGCGTGCTTCCTTATACTTCAAGGCCTTATTCTTATCCAAGCTATCCCTTGTCACCAACAGTATCACTTGCTAATGGCAGCCATGTTGGACAGCGACTATTTATCTCCAATCAGGCCTCATTCTTCTGAAGAAAATATTGTAAACATTAGTATGAAAATATCTCTGTATAAAGCATGCAAATTAAAATACTGTTTTATTTTAGAATCGGGTTTGCACATTTGGTTTTACAAAGGTAATATTTATTCCAGCATACTAAACATCAGCTATAACTCTGAATGACAGAATTATAGCATTTATAAAAATGCAAAGTTTAAAAAGTTATTCAGTGGTTTCCCTTAATAAAGGTACAGCAAACTGCTGTTCTTTTTAAACTTTTGGGATTTGCTTCTAATTCCTGAGTGGGAAGTTGGGCCCAAAGTGGTTTATGTTAATTTCTTGCATAATAACTTCACGAGGTAGCATTATACACATACTACAACACTGGAAGAAAATGATTATACCAGATTTGATTAGCAAGGATCACTATCTGTATTGGAGATTAGAACAGTTATTTAATGGGAAGCATCTGACTATTATGTAGAAAGAATTAATGAGGCAAAAGATAAGATGCAAATTTTATGCAGTACTAAAGAAAATATAGCCTGCCATTGTGGTCCTTGTAAATAACTATAAATACTTTGGTTAATAATTATTTGTTACAAGAATAAATTATAATTTTGCTGTTAATGTATTTAAGGTTTTTATAGTTGTGCTTCATTTGTGTTTTTGATATTCACTGTATTGTTTGAATAAGAAATGTTATAGTTTTTAAATGTTGAAATCATGTGTTAATTTTTGTACTTGAATTCAAATTCTGACATTAAATATGTGATGCTTCTAATATGCGCGTTTCATTTTTTAATAGAATGCACAAAAATTTGGCTCTCACAATCACTTACCTTTTCTGAGAAGTTTCTCTCACAAGATATACAGTCAGAGGCTCAATGTCTTCATGAGACCAAAGCAAATGAAATTGTAGACCAAAAATTGTTAGTTTTGTAAAATGGTTAATAAAAATCAAATATTCTGATAGGCACACTGAAGAGTCCCTGTTTTACTTATGAATAATTCATGAATCCAAGTCATTTCAACAGTTATGAAGTCTAATAATGAGTTTCATAATTGGTATCAGAGACAAAAATCTTTGAGATACCAGAAATTAACCTTTATTGATCAAATCAATGTGTACCTTTTTTGTAATAGGATTTGCGTACAGATTTGAAATGATTGCAGATATTTTTCTTACAACTTAATACTTACCTTTCCAGCCCACTGCTTTAGGCTTCATAGACTCAATACCTAACTGGCATCCTTTTTCCTCCTAACATAACTGAAGTGCATGGATTATGTAACTGATGTGCTAGGCAAGTGGCGCTCAGTTGCATATCACTCATTCAGCAAACGCACAATGAGTGTGTGTTTTGTTAGCATGTGATAGTACCCATGGGATACTGAGTTGACTCAGACTCTAAGCCAGAAGAAAAACAGACCCTTTTAGTTTTTTATGGAAATAATGTGGAATGACCCAAATCATCATGTAGCTTTTTAAAAAAATTTCAAATAATCTAGATAGCTTACCAGCCACATAATTTATTTGAACCATCTTGGTAATATGACAAGAATTGCCTAAGTTTTATAATAGTGCCAGGTAATAGCTATTTAAACTTGGACACAATTTTCCTTTAAAATTTATTATATTTGTTTGAGAGAGAATTCCCACCCACTGGTTCACTCCCTAAATGCCTGCAGTTACTGGAGCTTGCCCAGGGTCAGAGCCAGCAGGTGGGAATGCAATCTAGGTCTGTCACATGGACAGCAGGAACTCGGATGCATCACCATTGCTGTTCCCTTGTATATAATTCTTACCTCTCTGAACCCTGCTTTTCAATTTTTTTTTTGTCGTTAAATTTTTTTAAAGAATTAAAAGCCAAAACAGCTAATAGTTACTCAAGTGGTAGCTGATAATGAGTATAATTATAGGAAGAGCATAGTAGTACTTCTTTGTACAGTTTTCATTCATTCTCACTTCAACCAGAAATAAGCACAATCATGGCAAACGCTGTCCCTTTCTGTAATGTTATGGATGGGCAGTTTCTGTTCTTACTGCATAGTTTCATTTGTGGACATAGTGCTGATTTGGTGCTTGAATTCTTATGCAGTAGCCCCTGGAAGGCCTCTGCTCCAAATGAGGGTTTCCCTTGTTGGCTGAAGACAAGATATTGATAGATTTTAGCCATGATAAGCCCACTGGGAAGGGAAACAGTTCCAGAGACAACTTTCATCAACTATGTGTAACTTTTTCAAAGAAACAGAGGTAATGTGGGAGCTATGACCAGGGTATATCTTGCTTTAAATCCCCTGTGAGTGTAAGGATGAGAGTAAATTTAATTTTACCTCTTTCCTCTAGTTTGTTTTATAATGTTAGTGGGAAATAGTTATCTGTGATTCTGAATCTATAGGAAAGGTTAATAAATCCATGTTAACAAGTCTTTATGTAAGAAAATGCCATAGATTATGTCAAAGGAGAAATGATAGACTGAATGATATTCAAATTTTGTTAAGTGGGTAAAATGTAGAAATAGATGACAGTCACTGAGCACACAGAAAAGTACTCTCATAATAAGAGAAGTACAAATTAGAAGTTCAGTTTGGGGGTAGGAGTTTGATACGATGGTGAAGACACTGCTTGGGATGCCCACATCCTACATGGGAAAGACTGGGCGGTGTCCTGGCTCCTCTTCTGATCTGCCTCCCTGCTAATTGCACACCAGGCGGCAGCAGGTGTAATGCCATTCATGTGAGAGACCCGCATTGTTCCCAGCTCCTGATTTTGGCTTGGCCCATCTCTGGCTCTTGCAGGAACTTAGGTGTGAACTAGTGGATGGAAGATCTCTCTCTGATTCCCAAGTAAAATGAAAATGGATTAAAAGTTCAGATTGACAGAAATTCATAAGTAGATAAACAGTCTTTACATTGCTGATGAAGTTGTAAATTGGTATAATTCAAATGGCCAGTAGCTTGCTTTCTGTCATCCAGCAGTACACTTAAAACGTTTTAATCCTGCAGTCCCAGTTACGGGATATGTGTGGATAAGGCTATTCATCACAAGAGACTGATGAAATGATACATTTTATCAGTGAATGCTAAGAAGCTGTACAAAGCAGAATGAAGACCTTTAGTCCTAATACAAAGAATGTTCAGTGAAAGCAAAGTTCAGTAATGTATGTGCAATACAGTGTACCTGTTTTGGTAAAGAGAACCCTTGCATGGGCTTCAACTCCTATTTGTACATGAAATTCTGGAAGTAAACACCAACAAGTGGTTATGAGTGAAGCAGATTAAGTCACACCATAGAATTCAGTTTTACGTGACAACGCAGTAATTTAAGCAAAAAGATTATATATATTGTTCACAGAAGGAAATGGGGCTCTCCGTTACCTGAACAAAAACACGTTGCCAGGCTGGGAGGTTACCTGAACAAAAACACGTTGCCAGGCTGGGAGGAGCTGTGCTGATCTATTTACTGATCACAAGATGATGGGTTTTGAGTGGAAGTTCATCTTGCAAGCTCTCCAGGGGATAAGCAGCACTAAAAGCAGTTGCTCGTCACGGCTTTTGACTGGTCCCAAGGCTCTTGAAATACCTGTCGTGTGGGTGTGGGTGTGAAGCATGTTCCACTTCTGGCAGGAAAATCGCCAAGTCCCTAGGAGTTGGAGCAAAGCCATTGTTCTCTTGGGAAAAGAATTAATCTCCTTTTTGAGAAATCCCTCTTAGCCAATGAGACCTTAGTAGAGACTGTGAGATCCTAAGTGAATTCAGCTGCCCATCATGAGTTCGCTGTAACTTGGTCACCAAATTCCTGAAGTTACCAAAAACAAATGATCCACACCAGGACCCACGCCTTCAGCTTTGAACTTACCTGTGTATGCAATGTCAAGCAGTTTTTTGAGCCCTTGCTACAAGCTTTTGTGGAAAAGTGGTGTCTTGAGGGGTATGGAAAACTGCACCTAAGGAAGCAGGAGAGCAGAGGGCCCAAGAGTTAGCTAATAGAATGTCCAACCCACATTTAGGAATACTGTGAAAACCAGGTTCATGTGAGCACTGACTGAATAAAAACGTCTGAAAATTGTGAGGTGACAATCTCGGAAAGGCATAATTTCTGGTAGAAAAAGAGTTAAAGGGAGCCTTGGGGTACGGGTAGTAAAGACAAATCAGGAATCAGTATCCTGTAAGACCAATGACAACCAAAGTAGGAGAGGATGGTGTGATGCCAGCAATATAGCAAAGTCAGCCTCCCGAGACCTTAATTCCCCTCCAGAAGCACGGCCTTCGTAGTACAAGACGAATTCCTGGCAGTTATCACCAGAGCCCCTACCCGCCAGGTTGGCATGGCTGGGTTGGGAGGACATCCCCAACTCCTGTGGGGAGTGAGTGGGAAGAGTAGAAAATAGATCCGAAATGCGGAATTTCAGGAGGGCCCTGTTTATATATCATTTTTCGGTTGGGATTCTGCCATTTGAAAAACCAGCCACCTCTCTTACTTCGTGATCTGGTTTTAGCCCAGTTAGAGAATCTAGAGCCCTTCAAGCCTTTTCCGGGATTGTGCTCTGTGGTCTTGAGCTCCTGGAATCCAGCTGTCATTCTGCAGCAGCCACGGCACTGGCGCTCCACCTAGTGGTGCTCGGTGGCACCGCAGACTCTAGTAGATGCTGATGTAGTTTGTGCTGAGCCCCCACCCAAAATGGGAGGTCCAGTACCTGTCAGTGATGGAGTAGGCCCTCTGGTAAATGCTATTAGACAAAGAACTTCTGGCCGGGAGACAGTTAGGAAATGTCTCGTAATAGCAATAATACAGTTTATTTAACTGTAGCTTTAAGACTAAATGGTAGGGCTAAGGGTGGGACTACAGTATGTAAATATCACATGTGTGACAAAGTAGCAATAATGAAAAATGGATGAGGAAAAGGGGAAGGAGGAAGAAGCCCTTCGTTTTGTAGATAATAAGTGGCAGATGGTGCTGTTATAAAG